AATTTGTAGACTCTTGCTTCACTTCCCCAAGTGTCTGACATTACTTTGTATGGTAGTCAGACCTCAATGAGCAATTAGTGTCAATTAGAGTTCAGCTTTCCTTATGATAAAAAGCTTGGTACAGGTGTAAAGAGAGCTCTCAATATAGTCTGTTGGCTTAATAGTGCAAAAGCTGACAAGAAATACATTTTAAATAGTTTTAGAGGAGTTATGTCATGGTAATTGCTAATTGTCAGTATTCAGATGGTTGGAACATTGTGGTCTGAATCATCAGAGACTGTTTGCTTTTGGATTGTTCTTTCTGTGACTGAAGACATTGCCATACTTCCTATAATATACAGGCAAGATAAATTTGCACAGATTACAAAGACAAGCTGTACCCTGGACAGCTGGAAATGCTAATAAATGACACACAGACACTCTTATTTCTCCCTAATCCAACAAGCAGAAAGCTTGAGTTGTGAAAGATCATTTAGAAAATGTCTAGAAAGCTAGAGAAAGACACAGAGATTTCATGGGTAAGCCAAGAGACCAACCTTCATCTCCAGGGAAGGAGAAAGAATTACCAGTTCACGTTGTGTATCTGAGGATTGCAAGGTGACAGGAACATGGTGAAATAGCAGTCAAGGCTGGAAGATGAGAACTGACAGGAGCGAGCTGTTCAAAATCAAAAAGAATACAGCTAAAGGTGATGGGATACTGATTTATTTAATGCAACAGTAAAGAAACAAGAAGAAATATCTCGGGTGATAGTGAATCTGTCTGGGTCAAAATCACACAGGGGGAAGAAAGATGAAAGAGTTACCAATGCAGAATTCTTATAGTTCCTTATAGATTGTCAAGAACAGCTATGTGAATACAGACATTTTCATGATGATTTCATATTCATTCTGTTTTATAAAAACATACATGTGCATATCCTTGTAAATGTAAACATATATATTCTACATAAAAGTGAGGTTATAAATTATATGATCCATAAGTTTCTAAGATTAAAATGTTACTAGGAACTAAGTCATTATGAAGAGATTCTTGCCCCCAGATGAAGGATGAAGAGCAAGAAAAAATTACCAGGAACATGCAGTTCTTCCTTTTAGAGCTGGCACAGTCCTTAGCAAATTTAGTGAGCAAATTTGACAAGAAGTTTGGAACAGGAATGCTACAAAAAGCAGATGCAATACAAAGGATATTTTCTGACTAAGATAAATGTGATTATTGAGGTAAACAATAAGTTCACCTTCTTACACCCGTGTTTGTTCCATTCACCATTTTGCCTCACTTCATATTAATCTTTTAACACAGTTTCTTTATAAAATTTCTTTTATATTTCTCACTTGGTTTCAGTTTTGCAATTCAGATTTTATCTTCTGCGAGGCAGCCTTTTACATTGGTCAACCACTTCTTAATCAATTTAGATTTCTGATCTTGTCTCTGATTTTGATTAATAACTTTTTTTTTTTTTGGGGGGGGGGGGGTCAGGTGGGGTGGGCAGTATTATAAAGGAAAATAATTGGATGGAGATAAATGAAAAATGCTGTGACACAAAATATAGCTACTTTTTTTAGTCAAAGCATGTTCAATCAATAAAAAAAGAGATATTATAAACTTAGGAAAGTCAAAAGTTTTAATCTTTATGAATAATAGCCTTCAAATGAGAGAATTTGGAGCTCAGCTGAATCTCAGCTGGAAAGGGGTTTAATGTATTTATCAAAATCTTTTTCTGATATTAGTATTTACAGTAATAAGAAAGTAGGCTTAGTAATTCAAGAAGGCTTTTCTGTCTTCAGTTTTGCTATATGGGATAGAAAGAATGAGATTAATTTTTTCATGTTAAATGAGTCCAAAGTAAATGGTCCAAAGTACCTGCAGCTAAAACCATACCAGAATTCCTTCACAATCAGTGGAGACAAGCTTAGGAAAGGAAGCACTATATTTAGCTTAGCTGTAGATGCCCATGTTTGGTTTTGGTATCCGGTGATACTACATCACAAGCTCCAGAAATGGATCCATTTACGGATGACAAAATATCTGTCATCAATGTGCAGTTTAAAGAAAGTATGTGCATGTGTGTGCGTGTGAGTATACAGAAACATATCTGTGTGCATAGATATGAGTATAGCTTCCATCAATTAATCCAAGGAGGAAAATATATATACATGGCTATGTAACTATTGTGTCGCATTCCTTCCACTTTCCACTACTGCAGTGTTATACAAAGGTTTTATTTACAAAAGGTAGTAATTTTGTTCTAGCATGCAGAACACCTGGCTCCCTAGAATATCATTACAGAGAAGGAATGCTTTTATTGTTTTATGATTGTTGCTATCAAAAAACGATAAGAACAGTAAATGTGTTAACTTTTATCTAATTGTCTTTCTACGGCTGGTTTGACAGAATAAAGCACCAGAACCTTCTGGAAGCAATTAACTGTATTAATAAAATGCATTTGCTATGTATTTGCTGATCTTAGCACAGAGCACACAAGCATGTACCTGAACCATTATTGTGCTTCATCAAGCACTCTTACACTTCAACTGGGCCTCACTGTTTGCTGTTTTTACCTGATAAACATAAATGGAGGAAAAATGAAAAAAAAAAAAATAAAAAAAATTGTTCAACTACATGAATTAACAAAGAATGAAATCATCAGACTTCTTTCTTTAGACTTTGGACTAAATTTACCCATGATCTATGTTTAGGAAGGTCAATCACAGTAAGGAATCTGCGACCTATGTTTTCATCTTTTGCCATGTTTTACATTGTTTTTTTACATTTTTACAATGTTTTACATAGTTTAATCAATGGAACTTAACCACAGTAACAGGAAACAAGCATTTTTTTTCCCTTTGTTTGTTTGTTTTTAATAAGTACAAACACATCTTAGTGCAGATAAGTTTCCTGAATTGTCTGGAGCACTGAAGTGCACTTACTGAAGTAGATCTGCAACATCCTGCAGGCCTTCCCAGTGCCTTGCCACCCAGCAATGCCTAGCTTTGATACACAAGCTTCTGCTTTGAGATTTTTTTTCAGAATGACAGAGGAGTACGTGTGGTTGCATGTGTATCTGGTTGTACACGTTGAATAAAGAAGGAGAGCTTTTCCATACAGAAAGCCTAATTGTGGAAGTTAAACCTATTCCTTTAAAACATTTCCATACTGTGAGCCTTTTGCAGCTGCAAATAGATTAAAGGGGTGTTTAAAGGTATAGCATTAAATGAGTACAAATAACTGTTTTACGTAAGTTGCCTGGGGTACATCAGTAGCCTTCTAAATGATCAAAAGGTATAGCTGGAGGCAAGGTCCAAAACCACCTGCTTATATAAAAGACTTTCATATGAGGTAGCTGATATCATACATTTACATTGATCTTCCTTTAAACACTGTAATGAAATCGGTATCAAAATTATGTTAAAGTAATGTTATAGCTACCTTAAAGAGATGGGAGCAGGAAAAGTACAGCTCCACCCTTGAATTGCCCCATGTGTGACAGCACTAAGATCATGCATTACACCTGTATCAGTCTGCAGGTCAGCAGGGCTAAGCTGTCTTAAGCTTTTTAAAACTGATTTTGACATTGATTAAGCAAAGCTCTGAGGAGTTTGCTTCCCTTTAAGCACATGAGCACTTCCACCCATCCCCATGATCATCTTCAGCCCCCAATTGTTGAACTGGTTTAAGATCTAGGTGTAAATATGAAGGTTTGGCTGAATAAGGTAGATACATCTTGCTGTTGCCACTTTGGTGTATTTTCAAGAAGAATTAAGAGCAAAAGTTCATTTGAAAACAACTGACAACTCGTCTTTTAAGCCTGACACTTCTGAAAATTTCACACTTAATTATTTAAAGTACTTTACAGTTCTGCGTATCTTAACTAGGCCTTTGCTTATGAGGGTCTGTATATTAAAAATAATAAGAAGAATAAGAAGAGAAAGCACTAACATTTGCAGCTTTATTGTTCTCTATCCATTGTTCATATATATATATGTATATATTTTCTCAATCTTTACCTTTTGATTCAATCAATATATCTTGGTATTTGTAGCGTAAACACTCCTAAGCAATGTTGGCCCTTTAAAAAACAGTCAGCATTTATGCACACCATAAAAGACTTCTTGGGTAAGGTCAATATTGTGATATAGCATCAGTTGTGTATCAGAATGGCTATTTGTTGCCACTCTTGGTGTAGTAAACAGACACTCAGAGCACAGCAAATGATGGAAAGAACTGTGTTTTCATGACTAAGGGTATGGCAGAAAAAGTAGGACATAAAATCTGGAGCTGGAATAACTTCTAACTGCCTAAAACATAAGTGTCCACAGTAGAGACCAAGCTGGAGAGATGAATTTCATCATGTGTGGCCACCACTGGCAAAAGCAGGACTGTCTATTACTTGTCTACAAGTAATAGAATGCAAAAAGTCAAAACAGTTTTATTACTTGTCTGCCAAGAGAAGCTTTAAACCAACTGACTGCTTGTGCTCATAATATGACTTCTCTGAGCAATACTTCAATTAAAACTGCTGCTCTGCGTCATGGTTTGCAGGATTAGGGGTTGTTCTGTGCCTGCAGACCAGGTTGCCACCTATTTCTTATGATATTACTGAGGTATTTCTTAGCTACTGCAGGTAAAAAATAAAATCCTGAGCTCAGACCTGGACCAGATTGATTTTTCCTTGCTTAAATTTGCCAGTACAACTGATATCTTATTTTCTCCTTTCAAACTAAAATGTGTCATTCACCTTTAACTTGGGAAAAAAAAAAAAAAAGTTAAAAAATAAATAAAAAAGAGAGCCCAAGGAAAAGTCCTAAAAAGAAACCTGAAAGGAAATTGATCAGCTCCTTCTCCCCCATGAACACAGGCTTAGAAACAGAAAGCTTTTAAAGTGCTCTTATTGTCAAGATACAGAACTTGTTTAAGAAAAAATTACATCTTTGTGTTCTGAACGTATTCCCTAACTGGATAACTTCTTTTCCAAAAAAAGTAAAAAGTAAAAAATAAAAAATATTTTTTAAATTTATTATGCTTAGACCATATTGCTTACAAAATAGATGGAAGTTCCCACAATTATATGCATTACCTTTTCAGAGAAAAAAATAGTGTTTACAAAGTCTAGCGAAAAGAAAAACAACAACAGCAACAAAAACAAAACCACAGCCAACCTCAGGGATTAAAAGCCCTTTTCAAGACACCATTTTTCTCTCCAAGGTGCTGAGCTGGTGTCGATAAAAGACCTCTCTTTGAGAATAAAATGCAAAAAGTCAAAACAGTTTTCCATTTTAGAGGAATCTTTCCAGTGTGTTTGCCACCATTTCAATGAGTTCTTTTCCTCTCTGAACAGTCAATACAGAAGCACTAACTGTAATAAAAATTATAATAATAATAATAAGGAATAGTAACAACAAAAGTGTTATTTGGGCTAGGTGTATAAAAAATGCAAAATAATTTATAAAGTTAGGCTAAAAGACATTAATAAAGTCTCTGAGGTAATGATGTGGAGTTCCTTGGTGAGGCAGAAACCTAAGATGGAAAGGTCCTGTAGGCAGCAGTAATAGCTGAACATACTAAATGTACAAAGATGTGAACCTGGCTAACATATATATATATACATTTTTTTTTTTCAAATGTACAGATCAGTGAGGCTGAGTTTGTGCAGAGTGTAATGCAATCCATAGAAAAAAGGACCTGAACAGATGAGGGGAACCCATCCATATCTACCCTATTAGGTTTGAGCTTGGTTTGAAGTCTAGCAAACCAACAGGTAGAAAGTGCAGGCATAGCCTGTGGATGGGGCTGCCTGGTTCCTTAAGAAAGGCCATGGACATGTTCATAAAGTGCAAGATCTAGGAGGAAAAGATGAAGAGGAAGCACCTAGTCCTATCACCTGTACAGTACCTTTGTAAGCCAACATTGATGCTTTAACTACCTCTTGAATAATAAAAAGGGTTTAAAGCACATAGTCGAGTACTAGCACACACATTATGAAAATGTTAGAATGGGCCTTGTCATGATTTTAACACTGGCCAGCAAGCACTGATCCAACAGCTCCCAGCCACGGCTTGAGAGTTAGCACCAGCCTGGAAACTTACTCTACAGCCAGTTTGGATGCTACAGTCGTTGGGGCAGAGGAGAATTAACAGTGTCTCAATGGAAGCAACTCGTTACTGGTACAGATATGGATCACTTGCCTTACACGGCTCCCTGGCAGCATCTTCATTTTGTACTAGAGGCTTAGTTCTTGGAGCAACAAAGTTTGCTATCTGTTTTACTGGAACACTGAGATGTTGAACCATCATCCAAGAAAAGATGAATAAGCATTTTGTTCCTTGGGTGAAGAAGGGGCAGTACTGACAATTTTGAGGATGTATATAGAAAAGATCTTCAGAGTCCAGGGGAAATTGTTCTGAATATTCCATTTCTTCTCTTTTCTTTATAAGTCCTGTTTAGGTAGGGTCACTTAGAGCATTCCTCTCATTTATTCATTTTCCACTAATTCTCTATTTTCTCATCAAACAGAATTTTTCTTTTCCTTTGCCCTTTTCCTTTTGAAATGCTTCTTCCTAGAAACAGGAGACGAATAGATAAGTTCCAAGGCCATTTTGTGTTTGCTTAGTGTTTTACCAATGTATTTATAACACTTCCTTTATAAAACTGCTTTGTAAAGTATGAGGTAGAGAATTGCGATATATAGCTCATGTTACCGGATGGTGTTTCCCCAATAAAACAAAAACATAAAAAAAAGCAAACAAACAAAAAACAATGCATTAATGAATAAATATAAACTAAATACATTAAATTTATATCAAAACCAACAGTTACTTGGAACTGGATTGTTCTAAGCATTATTCTGATTGCTGAAACCTTAATTCAGAGGTTTGTCTGGAAACATGCAGCACACACAAATGGCATACAAGAGGCAAACAAAAAGATCTTTCACTAGGATAATTTTGTGCTCCTAAATAATTAATTTAATAAAAGCACACAAATATATACTAATCCCCAGTGCTCCTGTCCTAGACACTAGCAAGCAGATTTTTTATAATCATCTTGTAGTTTTTAGGAAATGTCTGCAAGGGATGCACCTGTTTGTAATTCACCATCAGATTCCTAATAAGGTGACTAAGAATAAAATAATAGATTTCAACTCTTTAAAACTCAGAGGTAAATTAAAAAAGCCTGAATGAAAAAGCTCTCTTACAACAAAATAAAAATAAAAATAAATTAAAAAAAAAGGAGCACAGTGTTTCTTTGAAATAGACATACTGGTAGAGAGAGCACAATACATAGTGAATTTTCAAGTCCTGAATCTGCATTTACTCCTCACCAAGTGGCACATGAACTGGAAAAATAAAATAACCATTAGGGATGGTACCATGAAGAACATTGAGCCAGAAAACGTCATCTATCGTCTTCCTGCCAATGAATGTTGAATTCACCATCTCCCTTTGTGATATAGGGTATATGAGACCAAAGCAAATACCTGTTGTCAACACCTGGAACTAAAAAGACCACCTGCCAGGACTGATTGGCATTACTCGCCTTTAACAAAAGCTGCCTCAAAAAGACTACAGGACAGAGACAGGCAGGCAGAGTTCAGAAGAAACTTAAATAGCACCACATGCTCCCCATGACAGATATATCTGAAACCTACTCAAAGCCACCTCCCCTTGCCTTTTAATTCACAAGTTACTGATGTCTTCAGAAGTGGAAAAAGAAATTAAGAGAAGAAAGGAAATAGCTTTTCCTCTGCTTTCTTCGAGAATATCACATAATGTTTTTGGCTTTGGTTAGAGATAATGACAGCTGTAAATTGAGTTAATTAGTTATATTGTCTAACCAAACGTGGTTAGACATTTCACAGAAACTGGGTCTTGGGTTGAAGAGTATGTTGGACAAACATGTTGTGTGTAGCAAGTCTGACAGTATTTCAGAAGACAAGTCTTAATCTATTTTTATTTTTTTTTCTAAAAGTTTGAAGGTGTATCTGCCAAAAGAAATGCACCAGGGAAATCTGCATCTCAAGAAGAGAGTGGCTACAGGTTCCGTTGTCCTGTATTTTGTCATCTGCAAGAGAGCACAAAAACAAACTTGCAGCCTGATACCAGCTGCTTCCCATGGAAGCCTTTCTTAGAGTACTACAACTCCTAGTTCCTGACCTTGCTGCCATTTGCTCACAACATCTCTTTGACACTAGTGTCACAGCTTGCTGAACCCTGAAATGTCATTAAATCTTTGTATAATGGTAAGTTCATCAAGTGCATCACATTCAGTTTTATATTGGCTGCAATGACATTTATATTGGCTACAATACGACATTATTGAATGCAACTAACACTATTGAGCCTGCTCAGAAACAAGCCTAACCTACTAAGATTGCAATGAATTAAAATAATAATAACAATAATGTAGAGTGAGAATTTTTGGCATAAGTAATTGATCAGATTGGTTATATGGAAGGCAGATCATGTTTATAGGATTTAAGTTGGAAGTGGTTATGACAATTTCAAAATTCAACCAGAATTTTCTCATCATCATTGGATTCTGTGTATAGATCTCTACATATTTTCTACTGAAACTGGACCATTGCTCAAGAATGGCAAAATTCATGGGGAGGACAAGGAGAGGACAGAGATGTGCAGTTCAAGCACTTGGCTGGAAGCAGGCGACTGGCTCCTTCTGATGTATGTTTCATTTGTAGAAAATAAATGTCTAATGCTAAAGAAATATCATTTCAATACCCTCTGTCTGGTTTAGAAAACCCATATCATAAATATTGCAGAATCTCAGTGTGAACTCTTAGTTCTGCCTCACTCCAAAAATCAGGATTTTAGCCACCCACTTCAACACCCAGTCCCTGTGTCAAATGCTATAGATACCAGGTGGAAATCTAATACTGAATTTGTGTCCCAAATCTGTTTGTAGTACTAAGTTTTTAAGAACACCTATTTTCCTGTTAGGTACTTTTAGAACCAAATACATTAAGTAAATAATCAGACTGTCTGACTTTACATAATCTGTGAAAAATGTTTATTAATAAAACCCAAGCAGATTGCTGATATGCATATAAAGTATTATTTATTTTTGAGAGTAATTCATTTTTTTTTCTTCCAATTTATCTGTTGTCTTGTTTTTATTCTTTAAAATTATCCGAACACCTGAATTTCCATTAGCAAATACCTGCAGTGTTTCAGAGCAGAAGATTTTGTTTTATTTTATTTTGTTATAAAACTTAAAATTGTATTGTTAAGTTTACAATATCTAGTGACTATTTTTATTATTTTTATTATAATCTTTTTGTGTGTGTTTGTATTCAGAACTGAAAAATACACTAAACAGCAATGAGTATGTTTTTATGGATATCCAGACACACAAACAAAAAAGCATAAGATAGAGCCTCAGTGAAAGCAATGAAAACATTTTCCTTTCAAAGCTTTCATTTGGTTGCTAGGAAAATATTTATGAAATGCAGTTTAATGCATTTGCTGAAAATTAACACAGAGATGCATTTGCAGCTAATTAACCTATTCTCAAAGAAAGCAATTGGGAAATGCTTGATTAATGTTTAAGGCATTACATACACAGAAAAAAAATGTAGGCAAAACTTCATCATGGCACCCAGGAGACCACTGCGTGACACAATCTAGAGTCTGCGTGCAGCTCACTCTCCACAGGAACTAATTTTGAAGCACCAGAATGCTCTGAATTGTCTGTAAAACACTGTAGAAGAAACTCAACACAGAACAGAAGGCATGCTTTCCTTAGGAAGAATGCTGATAAAATTTTAATGAAGTAACATGTTGTCATGGGGATTTGTTGCTATTCATTAATTCATTGTGCTTTTCCCCTATAGTTTTGTTGAAGTTGAGTGACAAATTGTCAAGTAGCAGTCCTAGAGGTTTAAAGTTTCTCATTGATAATCTAACTTTCCTGCAAATTGTTTTAAAGGATCTGGTGTTCGCGGAATACAACTTCTGAGGTATCAGAGAGGGAGATTCATTCGTGTGGGGAGAGACAGGGGATGGGCTCTGTTTACCATCTTTCCTCGACCACCTCACTAGCAGTCTGACAGTAATATCCAATGCACAGACACAATTTTGAATGTGTCTAAATATCTTCAGACATGCTTGTGTTATCAGCATGCCCATATTTCCAAAAAGAAAATAATCAGTCTGAAAACTGTATGTCCTTTCCCACAAAGGGTAGAATGAAGAGACTGGACTGAAGCCTATGATGGGTATTACTGCTCTCTGAGTCACCAATATAAAATAAGATTATCTCATGTCCAGGCACTTGCATATGAGATATATGGTGATTCTGCTGAAATCTGTTTGCATGGGAGAGTTATTGAAACAACTCCCATCGGGCTGGTGAGTGACTATGGGAATCTTCATTTGCAGGAAGAGAAACACATAACCACATAACCAGACAAAAAAAAAAAAAAAAAAAAAAACTGTTGCTGACATTTCACCAACAGCAGGGATCGTATTCAGCTCACAAAACGGTGAGATTCATAGGGAATTAAAAAAAAGGTTTACTGGCCTTCATTTGGTGAGATTTAATGACTGACTCATGGCTTTGGCTCACAGGAACTGTGTTGTTTCCTCATACAATGTATGTCTGTATACATGAGTATTCTTCCTGTCTTAAAATTTATGTATATTCATTCCCAGCACAGTCTTCTTCTTTAATGTTTGATGGCAAGATAGAGTTTCTATATATAAAAAGTTGCCCTAAGCCTAAACTACCTGCTATGGAGAATGACAACAAGCAGCTGTTTCAGTTCAATTGGATCAATGTAGATTAGTGGTTTCTCATGTGGGCTATTCCAAAGGTTTCCTTTCCTTTCCTTTCCTTTCCTTTCCTTTCCTTTCCTTTCCTTTCCTTTCCTTTCCTTTCCTTTCCTTTCCTTTCCTTTCCTTTCCTTTCCTTCCTTCCTTCCTTCCCTTCCCTTCCCTTCCCTTCCCTTCCCTTCCCTTCCCTTCCCTTCCCTTCCCTTCCCTTCCCTTCCCTTCCCTTCCCTTCCCTTCCCTTCCCTTCCCTTCCCTTCCCTTCCCTTCCCTTCCCTTCCCTTCCCTTCCCTTCCCTTCCCTTCCCTTCCCTTCCCTTCCCTTCCCTTCCCTTCCCTTCCCTTCCCTTCCCTTCCCTTCCCTTCCCTTCCCTTCCCTTCCCTTCCCTTCCCTTCCCTTCCCTTCCCTTCCCTTCCCTTGTCTCCTCTCTCCTCTCCTCTCCTCTCCTCTCCTCTCCTCTCCTCTCCTCTCCTCTCCTCTCCTCTCCTCTCCTCTCCTCTCCTCTCCTCTCCTCTCCTCTCCTCTCCTCTCCTCTCCTCTCCTTTTATGGTAAATACTTTCAAGATTTTCATGAATGATCGGTTACATTTTGCACAATGAAGCAATGTTCATGTAGTAACACATTGTCAAAGTATAATATTTTCCTGGGCTACCTTCCAGCTCTTTTCCAGATTTGATGACTCTGGTGCAATTGAAATAGCTAGGGTCTAATATCAGACATGATCATGTAAAGTCCTGGACTCCAGGACTGAATTCTCCACTAATATAGCTAAAACTGAAGGTGGTGAATTTACATGCTTTGAGGCATTGCTATTTTCCCAGACTTCATAAAATATCAGCAGCAAATGTGCATATTTCAGTCATGTAGGTGATATGTGGGAGATAAATTTATTAGATCCATAGCAAGATCTATTACATTCTGTTGTTCTGATGATAGCACCCATGAGTTTGAAATAACTATAAATGAAAAAGTTTCTCTTTCCAAGGATCAACATATATTTCTCTTCCCATGTTGATATCCATGACAAATCTTCACAACAAGACACCGGTGCTCTAAATTGTTCAGGCTACCAGAAGCAGTCCTAAAACATTAAATTTCATAGCAGTTGTGTTGGATTTCATCCCCATACTGTGTTGACTGGCCTGTTCCCACATCTTTTTACAAGAAATTAGAAGACTAGCTTAAAAGAAGTTACCTTGCCAGGGAAAAATGCCTGCTAGGGCCTGAGTCAATTCACTCATCTCACACCCTATGGTTTTCTGAAGAGATGGTAGAACATTTGAACAAGTTACTGCTGGTGCTGTACCACATCTAAACGAAGGAAATAAAGGTGTAAGAGATTCTCCTGGCTCCATAGCCATCATACAGTCTTGCTGGTCATGCTGTGCCTTACTTCAATACAGGGTGACTCCAGATTTAATTAATCTCTATTGTTTGATTTCTTCTGACATGTTTTCTTGCTTCAACATGGTTAGAGTAAACCTGTGATTAACGAACAAATAAAAAAACAGACTCAGGAAATTATATATATATATATAGGAAAAGAAGACTTTAAGATCCAAAAAATTAGATTCTGAGTTGGTATAATTGGTGCAGTCATAGTCATTGGTGCAGTGTAATTTTACACCAAGTGAGAATCCAGGACAGAGCCTGCTTTGTTAGTATTAAGAGGGGGAATTAAGCCAAATTATCCTGATACATACTGGATCAGAATCAAGCCTCCTGTAATCCTCCACCTAGATTTTCTTCACTGTCTCGCCTTCTCTATCTAAATCCCCTTTAAATGCACTTGCTTTTCATTTCAGTAGGACTTTAGCATAATTTGCACTTTAATTCTACCTTTTGCTAAATGATCTTAATGTCCTTTACAGGCATTAATTGATTAAGGCTCTGCCTGCTCTTAAGAATGGATGCTTTTATCCTCAGTTTATCCAGGGGGATATTGAAACATATCCAAGTCAAGTAACAAGCTCAAGGTCACAGAAGGGAGGTGAAAGAAACTGGGAATCAAACCTTCACATCTGGATCTGCAGTGCTGCAATCTCTGTACTCCATTGTGTTCATCATCCTGTGTGTGCATGCAGGGCTGAATCCAGCAAGTTTTAGTGAAGCCTTGCAGCGCTATATAATTAATTTGTTACGAATGCCTATAAATAAAATAAACTCTGAAATGATCTACACTTCTCTGTTGTCAAAAGCATCCCCATCTCTCTCAGTCCCTGCTCACTGGCTGCTGACATTATTTCTTGGTTAGTGTATGACAGTTCAGTGCCTTGAGTGTTCCTCTCGCTGTAGGGTTAGTAGGATAATTGACAAACCACAGGGACCAGATCCCTGGATTAGGATGACCGGACTGTCAAAACAGCCATGACAAACTCTCACATCAACTTCTACTGCAACTCAGGTCTGTGAGGAAAAAATGCACCTTGGCACGGCCAGAAGGGAAGTCTTTAGTTTAAATCTTTTCCCACTGCACAAAAAGCTACAGGAGGGGGAGGAGAGAGCATGGATCTTTCTGTTTAATTCATAGAAAACTCTGTTACAGCAAGTCACAATTAATTAGAGTACTTGAGTAAACATTTTGGGGTCCTATTGTGTTTGCTTAATGTGTTTACTGGAATGCATGACAGATGTCACTTCTGTTTCTTATTAAAGACTGACAAATGACTGTATATTCAGTGCATGTGAGTACATAGAGGGAATGCAACCCTCGCATGCACACACACACAAATTGACTCACTTTTGCAAGGTTAATATTAGCATGTAAAATTTGCGGGCACTATCTGTGTTAATTAGCACAGAACCTTTAACAATTTCAAGTGTTATTGAAAGTCCACTATTATGATTACTGAATAATATATTCAGGACATATATGCTGTTTTTACATTTAAATGGAAAAAGAAAGAACACTTGAAACAGTAGTCAAATCACTTGCTTTACTTCTGTCACTTTTATCATTTTTCCTAGATTTTCAGAAATTCAATCACACATCTTTGAAATGACAGCCAGAGAGGCATCTGTTTATAAAAAAGAAAAGTGTTCTCTTTATGCAAAACTACATTGCAAATTGTTTAAAAATATGCAAATACAGAAGAAGGTTATTTACTTAGTTCTGCCAGCTAACATATGGGATTGGGACACCTAGGATTTAAAATCTTTGTTTTGGTTTGGCTTTGTTTGGTTTATTTTAAATATCAGACTTAAATATTGTTTTCAGTGCGCTACTTGGTCTTTGGAGTATGACCAAAATGGTTCTATAAAAATTAATCTTTTGTTTGTTTTGTGTTTGTGGTTTGTTTCTAATTGAGAAATAATTTAAGAAAGAAAAGTAAAGTTAGAAGATTCCACAAGTAATTCTTTACTTAATGTCACAGAATGCAAAACAGCAAAAGAGCCACTATAATAACAAGGATGAGAAACTAAAGATAAATGTAGGAGGAATTGACATTTTCTAAATGAAAAATAAAATGATGATTTTGGTTTACATTCCTCAGATTTTGGTGCCTCTTTTTTTTTTTTTTTTCCCTCTCCTCTGAGAGGCAACAATATTTTCTGGTGAGAGAAAAGAAGCTGATTATTTTTCATTCAGATATGAAATGCTTCAAGATTTCTGAAGACAAGTCTTTTTAATTAAATATGTCTCTATTTTTATTTTTTATTTTTTTTTTAGCTATACAGTACAGTCTATTTACTGGATTTTTTAAAGATGTTTCCTATTCTATCCTTTGGTTAAAGAAGATACATGTACATACACACACACACACAATCATGTTTATTTATGTAGTTGCAAGAAAATATAGAATTAAAAAAAAAAAAACATACAAAAGCAAACAAACAAGACAACAACAACCAACAGATTTGGATACCTTCTACCCTCAACGGTGTACAATGTAATTTCAAATAAATCTACATGTATTTAAAAATTTCCTGATATATGCCCAAGTGACTCTCTAACTTCTTAGGAGACTTTGTATAGAAAAACAGAATGAAGGACAAGAGTGATCAGCATCTTCTAGAACCACTTTTAACAGTCTTGAGTTGAATGAAATGCCATTAGCTTCAGGGAAACTTTGCTGAAATCCTGTGTTGTAGAAGAGTCTCTCTTGTTTAGAGAACCAGATAAAAAGTTTATTTTTGGCCTTAGGCCAGTCCTGCTTATTACCTGTGAAACTCAGTGTCAGTGGGAGGTTTGAATAAAAACTCTTTTCTTTGTCCAGCCTGCTGGTTCCTTTACTAACATTGTTCTCAGTGTGGCAAAGCAAATCTGGCAGTAGAGTCAGCAACTTGTAGTCATGCATTTATATTATACCAGCTGCTTCCTTGCCTATGGCAGATATTAGGCCATGATATCAAAATATGCCTTGGTAATTTTTAAGACTAGAATTACTGCAGAATTACAATTCAAAGGTTAAATCACGATACAACTATTCAGTATTTACCTAATATTTATTTTTTTAGTATACAGATTTGCATGTATTGTCCTTTAAAGTGATTGCAAGGGAAAGCAAACTAATGACAGATAAGGGAAAGGTAGGAAAGTAGATTTGGAAAAGTTAAAAGCAAAGAGATTGCAACAATCTGAAGGGGAATGCAACACCAAGGTAGAGCAAAACCTCATACTGTGACACTTAGCTCAGATTTGTTCTTCAGTTCCAGGAAAAAAAAATAATAATAATTACCTGGAAACTTACCTTTCTTGCTTATTATGTTTTCACAATTGCTGATGTCGATAACACCCCTAAAGGGCACAAGTTAATGCTGAAATTTTCTAGACTCATTATATACAGAAAGATATTGAAACTTTGTAAGAATGTTTGTTCTCATCAATTTTTCAGTCATAATAATAAGAAGGGAAACTTAGTGGCATTTTCCTCCTCTAACAAACACTGATATTTTTTGTTACTTGGTACTGTAAAAATGCACTATATCAAAATCAAAATGTTAAGCATTTTTTATATAAAACAAACTCATTCTCAAGCAAAATGTCTGGAAGTTTCGTTTTGGAAACAATGACCTGAAATGTATGATTGTTTTTTCCAAACACTACTTTTTTTCTGCTCAAGATTCATCTGTGAAACTCAATTAAATTCATAAGACCTTCTGGTAATACTAACTGCAGTTCTCACAACTCCTCTGTAATAAGAGAGATCCAAAAATATTTGCATCAGTAAACTTAAAATATCAAAAGCATGTTCCAAAGGGATAATTTGAGCTTTGTAGATAACTTCTATACTCTGATTCAACATTTCTGGTTTAAGTAATTGTATATGATTGGAAAAATCATAGTGCTGCCAAATTTGTGTGGATACAAGCAAATTTGCCACATAAAAGAGTGACATTATTCAACATGGCAGAAACTGCAGAGCTAGAGTTTTAATATTTTTTCCTGCTAAATACTACAAGCTTTTCCTGGTTAAGGCTTCCTCCAGTACAGTAGAACTGAAAATATTATGCTAGAAGCAAATTTTCCTGTCACATCTCTTCTTTATAATTTATTTTTTTTGCAGCAGTGTTCTTCACTACTCAGTTCCTAATATAACCTTCTGTTAACAACCAAATTTTAAAATAGCCTTCTGTTAACAACCAAATTATAATTGTTGGAGATGGTATGTGTTCAATATCACACATTTCTGAACCTTCTAGTATTTTGTACAATTAGCAGCACAGTTTTAGAGATTTTTCTTGTAGCTGTCAAGGAACACCAAGCTGGTGGAGTTGCAGACACCTTAATTTCAGAAACAGATGAACCTACTGTTAATAACTGAGCAGTGACAACCCACCTCAGCATTAGTTTACTTGCCAGTGAGATAAACTGGTAAGGTGTAAGCCATCAAAGCAACTCCAAAAAATTTCACTTCAACAGAGACCTTCTCGCCCTTACGGCACCAAGAGGAGGTGATTTTCCTGAACTTTTTCAGAAGATAAAATGACTGAGACTTCTGAAAGCACAAGTAAAGTCTGTTCAGTGTTAGTAGTACTAGGGAGTAATACATTGGATAATCTTCTGAACAAGGTCTAAACAGGAATAATAATTAATATATTAAAAGAAAAAAAAAAAAAAAAAAAAAAAAAAAACACCTTAAAAGAGACTGAAGTTCCTTATCTGTTTGCATGTAAGAAACCCACAGAAGCCAAGGACATTATGAAGAAACAGAGCCATTATTCTTAATATGGTGTAAATCAGGACAGAATTACTTCATGTAATTATTGAATCACAGAATTATTCAGGCAGGAAAAGACCTCTAAGATTATCTAGTCCAACCTTTAACCTGCTACTGACAAGTCCACCACTAAACCAGGCTACCAACTTCCCAAATTCTATATCTACACATTTCTTGAAGACCTTCAAGGAAGGTGACTCAACCAGTTCCCTGAGCAGCCTGTTCCAGTGCTACACATCTCTTTCAGTAAAGAATGTTCTCCTACTATCCAACTTAAACATTCCCTGGTGTAACTTGAGGTCATTTCCCCTTGTCTTATCTCTCAGTGCTTGGGAGAAGGTCCTGATCCCCATCTTGCTACTACATTCTTTTGTGCTTCAGGAGGGAGAGAAGGAAGGAATCATAGAATCGTAGAATGGCTTAGCTTGGAAGGGACCTTAAAGATCATATAGTTCCAACTTCCTTGCCCCATGGGCAGGGATGCCACCCACTAGATCACACTGCCCAGGGGACCTCGTCCAACCTGGTCTTAACATTGGCAAGATGAGGCATCCATATCTGGGCAACCTGTTCCAGTGCTTCACCACCCTCTGAGTGAAGAATTTCCTTCTAACCTATAACCGAATTCTCCCCTCTTTTAGTTTAAAACCATTCCCCCTTGTTCTATCATTGTCTGTCTGAGAAAAAAGTTGCCATCCATCTTTTTATAAGCTCCCTTTAAGTATTGAAAAGCTGCAATAATGTCACCCTGGAACCTTCTCTTCTTCAGTCTGAACAGCCCCAGCTCTCTCAGCCCTTCTTCATAGGAGAGGTGCTCCAGTCCACTGGTCATCTTTGTGGCCCTCTTCTGGAAGGAAGGCAGGAAGGCATGAAGGAGAAAGGAATGTTTTCCATGAAAATTATTTTTCCAATCATAAACAAAACAAAACAAAAACAAAACAAAAGCAGCCTTGTGTTTTTGAAATTTACCTTTAAATTTATGGCACATCTTGAATGTTTAAACAAGAGCATCCATTCAAAGGAAGTTAATGAGAAGCATCTAACCCAAATTCTGTTTCCTTCATTGTCCAATCTGAGCTGGAATATCTGTATCTGAATGAGGTGGCTCAAAGTATGATTTGTACCTATCTTGTCCCTATACACTGGCTCATTCAAAGAGATGTGCAACTGGCTGTAGCAAAAGGAACTTTTAACTCTGACAAAGAACCTAGTTTTATTCTGGAGTGGTCTGGGATAAAATATGAAGGTAGCTGTCCTTCGCATCTGGTCTTCCTCTAGAAAGTCTAGATACATTTAAACTCAAAGATCATGTTTTCTTTTCATTTTTCACCTCAGTGTCTTCAAAGTAGAGTCAGAATTTTGTTAAGGAAATAATAATAATAGCTGCATACACAAATTACATATACACATAACATAACAATAAATATATTTTTTAAAGGAAAGAAAAGAAATCAACAACAACAACAACAAAAATGACCTCCAGCTTAGGATTCATGTCTGAATATAGTGAAGGCTTTTGATTCAACTTCTATCAATTTCATACATTTGTTGAGATTTGTCAAGAAGACAAAATAGGGTGAATGAAGATGTCCCCCATTAGGTTCCCTCTGGTAGCCCATAAGGTTTCGTCTTCAGCTTGGACACTGTGGACAATATTTTGGCAACTTTGGACCAGATCTCAGGTACTTTGTCTAGCACAAGTCAGTGTAAATTTTTGTCCTGGTTTCAGTTAGGACAGAGTTAATTTTCCTCCTAGTAGCTGGTAGGGTGCTATGTTTTGGCTTAGGATGAGAAGAGTGCTGATAACATGCTGATGTTTTAATTGCAGAGCCGTGCTTACACCAAGCCGAGGACTTTTCAGTTCTTCACTCTGTCCTGCCAGCAGGCAGACTAGGGGTGCAGAAAGAGCTGGGAAGGGACAGACCCAGAGCAGCTGACCCAAACTGGCCAAAGGGGTATTCCATACCATCTGACATCATGCTAAACAATATATAGGAGTGGCTAGCCGGGATGGGGGGGCGGCTGCTCGGGGATAGGCTGAGCATCAGTCAGCGGGTGGTGAGCAATTGCATTGTGCATCACTTGTTTCGTACACATTATTAGTAGTATTATAGTATAACATTATTATTTTTATTATTATTATTAATGTCTTAATAAACTGTCTTCATCTCAACTCACAGGCTTCACTTTTCCATTTCTCTCCCCCCATTCCAGAGAGGGAGGGCAGAGGGTGAGCGAAAGTCTGTATGGTGTTTTTCTGCTGGCTGGGTTAAACCACAAAAATTTTCTATTAGAGGTCCAGTAC